CCCTGTCTCTACTAAAAATACAAAAATTAGCCAGGCATGGTGGCAGGCGCCTGTAATCCCAGCTACTCACAAGGCTGAGGCAGAGAATTGCTTGAACTCAGGGGGTAGAGGTTGCAGTGAGCCGAGATCATGCCACTGCACTCCAGCCTAGGTGACAGAGCGTGACTCCATCTCAAAAAAAAAAAAAAAAAAAAAAGGACTCACTGTCCTTTTCTCCACTGAATAGTCTTGACTCTTCCAGGAAATCAATTGATTATACATGTAAGGGTTTATTTCTGGGCTGTATGTTATATTCCATTGATTTTTAAATCTAGAGTTTGAAAGATTGGTGTTAATTTGTCTTTTTTTTTTTTTTTTGAAACTGCATCTTGCTCTGTCACCCAGGCTGGAGTGCAGTGGTGCGATCTCAGCTCACTGCAACCTCTGCCTCCCAGGCTCACGTCATCCTCCTGCCTCAGCCTCCCGAGTAGCTGGGACTACAGGCACCTGCCACCATGCCCGCCTAATTTTTTGTATATTTAGTAGAGACGGGATTTCACCGTGTTAGACAGGGTGGTCTTCATCTCCTGACCTCGTGATCCACCCGCCTCGGCCTCCCATAAGACTGGATATTACAGGCATGAGCCACCGCAACCTGGCTGAGTCTGAGTCTTGCTCTTGTTGCCGAGGCTGGAGTGCGATGGTGGCAATCTCAGTTCCACTACCAACCTTCTGCCTCCTGGGTTCAAGCAATTATCCTGCCTCAGCCTCCCTAGTAGCTGGGATTACAGACATGTGCCACCATGCCCGGCTAATTTTCTATTGTGTTCTGTTGTTTTTTTTTTTTTTCTTTTTGAGACAGCCTCTCACCTCTCACTCTGTTACCCAGGCTGGAGTGCAGTGACAGGATCTCAGCTCATTGAAATCTCCACATCTCGGGTTCAAGCCATTCTCTTGCATCAGCCTCCTGAGTAGCTGGGAATACGGGCGTGTGCCGCCACACCCAGCTAATTTTTGCATTTTTAGTAGAGATGGGATTTCACCGTGTTAGCCAGGATGGTCTCGATCTCCTGACCTCGTGATCCGCCCACCTCGGCCTCCCAAAGTGCTGGAATTACAAGCGTGAGCCACCGTGCCCAGCCTAATTTTTCTATTTTTAGTAGAGGTGGGGTTTCCTCACGTTGGCCAGGCTGGACTCGAACTCCTGACCTCATGATCCACCCACCTCGGCCTTCCAAAGTGGTTAATTTGTCTTTAAATGTTTGGTGGAATTCACCAGTGATGCCTTCTGGTCCTGGGCTTTCTTTGTTGGAAAAGAGCCTGAGGGACCTGTGGGACACTATTAGGCATACCAAACAACATGTCATAGGAGTCCCAAAGGAGAAGAGAAAGAGAAAAGAGGCAGGAAAAAAAAATTGGAAGAAATAATGGCTGAAAACTCTGCAAATTTGATCAAAGATATGAATTTACAAACCCCCAAAGCTCAAGGAACTCCAGGCAAGATAACTCAGAAATCTACAACAAGAAATATTATAGTTAAATTGTCAAAATCCAAAGACAAAGAGAGTTTTGAAAGCAGCAGGAGGCCAGGCGCAGTGGCTCACGCCTGTAATCCCAGCATTTTGGGAGGCCAAGGTGGGCAGATCACCCGGTCGAGAGATCAAGACCATCCTGGCCAACGTGGTGAAACATCATCTCTAATAAAAATATAAAAATTAGCTGGGTGTGGCAGCACATGCCTGTAATTCTAACTACGTGGGAGGCTAAGGCAGGAGAATCACTTGAACCTGGGAGGCAGAGGTTGCAGTGAGCTGAGATCGTGCCACCGCACTCCAGCCTAGCAACAGAGTGAGACTCTGTCTCAAAAAACAAAAAAAGCAAGAGAGAAGAAACTTTTCACGTACAAGAGATCCTCACTAAAATTAACAGCTGATTTCTCTACAGAAACCATGGGGTTCAGAAGACAGTGGTATGACATATTTTAAACTTTTAAAGGAAAAAAATCCTGTAATCAAGAACTCTATATCCATCAAAATTATCTAGAGATTAAGATATTTCTAGATAAAAGCTGAGAGAGTTCATTACCGGTAGTCCTGCCCTACAATAAATGCTAAAGGGAGTCCTTCCGGCTGAAATGAAAAGACACTAGATGTAACTCTAAGCCATTAGAAGAAATAAAGGCCACTGTTAAAGGTAACTAAAGCCAGTATTATTGTACTTTTGGTCCATCACATTTCCTTTTCTTTTCCATGTGATTTAAAAGGCAAGTGCATATGTGTTAATGTGGATGTCTATGTTAATGGACACACAATGTATAAAGACACAATCTGTCACAATAACAATATAAAGGGAGGGGGCAGAGATGTATATGAGCAGAGTGTTTGTGTGTGTTGAAACTAAGTTGGTATTATTCAAATTTAGTTGTTATAAGTTTAAGATGTTAATTACTATACAGTTGCCTTTTAAACTTTGTATGTCAGTATGTCAGTTTCTTATTGCTGCTGTAACAATCGGTTACATACTTAGTGGCTTAAAACAACATACATCTACTGTCTTATAGCCAAGATCTGAAATGCATTTTGCTGGGCTAAAATCAAGGTGTCTTCACCTTGCTGGGTTGTATTCTTTCTGGAGACAGTAGAGGAGAATGAATTCTTTCCCTTTTTCAGCTTTTAGAAGACACCTGCTGCATTCCTTGGCTCGTGACCCTTTCCTCCATCTTCAAGGCCAGCAGCAGATCACTTTCGAATCTCTCTCTCTCTCTCTCTCTCTGACATGTGCTTCTATCATATCTCCATTTCTCACTCCTGCCTTCTTCTTCTAAGGACTCTTGTGACTACATTGAGCCCATCCAGATAATCTGGACTAATCTCCCCATCTCAGAATTCTTGACTTAATCACATCTGTGGAGCCCATTTTCTTTTTCTTTTCTTTTTTTCTTTTTTTTTTTTTTTGAGACGAAGTCTCGCTCTGTCACCCAGGCTGCAACGCAATGATGCAATCTCAGCTCACTGCATCCTCTGCCTCCCAGGCTCAAGTGATTCTCCTACCTCAGCCTTCTCAGTAGCTGGGATTACAAATATGCACCACCATGCCTGGCTAATTTTTTTTTTTTTTTTTGTATTTTTAGTAGAAACAGGGTTTCACCATGTTGGCCAGGCTGGTCTCAAACTCCTGAGTTCAAATGATCCTCCTGCCTTCATCTTTCAAAGTGCTGAGTGAGATTATAGGTGTGAGCCACCGCACCCAGCCTGTAAAAAGTTTTTAAGTGTATATTCTAGATCCTAGGCCCTTATTAGTTATATGACTTGCAAATATTTTCTCCTACTCTGTGGATTGTCTTTTCCCTTGATAGTGTTTTTTGATACACAAAAGTTTTAAATTTTGATGAAATCTAATTTATCTTTTTTTCGTTTGTTACTTATGCTTTTGCTATTATATTTTTAAAATTATTGTCTAGGATTTACACCTATATTTCTTTCTATTATTTCATAGCTTTGGTTCTTACATTTAGATCTTTGATCTGTTATGGGTAAATTTTTGTATATGGTATGAGGTATGGGTCTACATTTATTCTTTTTCATATAGATATTAAGTTGTCTCAGCACTATTTGTTGAAAAGACTACTCTTTCCGCATTGAATGGTCATGGCACCCTTGTAAAAAATCTATTTACCATAGATATATGGGATTGTTTCTAGACTCCCAATTCTATTCCATTGTTCCGTATGTCTGTTGTTATGCCAGTACCAAAATGTCTTGATGACTGTAGCTTTCTAGGAAGTTTTGAAATTAGGAAATATGAGTCCTCCAACTCTGTTCTTCTTTTTAAGATTGTTTTGGCTATTCTGAGTCCTTTGCATTTCTATATGAATTTCTAGGATCAGCTTGCCTATTTTTGCAAAAAAAAAAAATAAATAAGGTATTAGAATTTTAATAGGGATTGCATTGAATCTCTAGATTGCTTTGTGTTTATTTTTATTTTTTTGAGATGGAGTCTTGCTCTGTTGCCTAGGCTGGAGCACAAAGGCTCAATCTCAGCTCACTGCAACCTCAGCCTCCCGGGCTCAAGCGATTTTCCTGCCTCAGCCTCCCGAGTAGCTGGGATTACAGGTGCGTGCCACCATGCCCAGCTAATTTTTTTGTATTTTTTAGTAGAGAAGGAGTTTCACCATGTTGGCCAGGCTGATCTTGAACTCCTGACCTCAGGTGATCCACCCACTTCGGCCTCCCAAAGTGCTGGGATTACAGGCATGAGCCACTGCACCCGTCCTCTAGATTGCTTTGGATAGTAATGTCGTATTAACAAAATTAAGTGTTCCAATCTATGAACACAAAAAGTATTTCCATTTATTTAAATCTTCTTTAATTCCTTTCAGCCATGTTTTACGGTTTTCAGTGTACTTGCCTTTCTTACACTTCCTTGGTTAAATTTATTTCTAAATGTTTTGTCTTTTGTGATACTAATGTAAATGGAATTTATTTTTGTTATTTCATTTTTGGGTTGTTCATTGTTAGTGTAAAGAAATACAACTCCTATTTGTATATTTATCTTATATCCTGACATTTTCCTAGGCTCATTTATTAGCTTTAATAGCTTTTTGTGGATTCTTTAATGCATTCTATATATAAGTTTATGTGATCTGCCAAGAGGCAATAGCTTTACATCTTTCTTTCAGTCTGGATGGCTTTTTTTCTTCTGACTAATTTCCCTGGCTACAACTTCCAGTAAAATATTGAATAAAGTGGCAAGATCAGACATCCTTGTCTTGTTCCTGATTTTTTTGCAGGGAAAGCTTTCAGTTTCACCGTTAGGTGGGATGCTATCTGTGTTTTTTTTCATAGATGCCTTTTATCATGCTGAGGAAGTTCCTTTCCATTCCTAGTTTGCTGAGTGTTTTTATCATGAAAGTGTGTTGTATTTTGTCAAATGCTTTTCTGTGTCTACTGAGATTTTCATGTGATTTTGGCCCTTCTTTCTGTTAATATGCTATATTACTGCAGTGCAATTTGACTCTAACAATGCGCTGGGTGTGGTGGCTCATGCATGTAATCCCTGCTCTTAGGGAGACAGAGGCGGAAGGATAGCTTGAGCCCAGGAGTTCAAGACTTGCCTGGGCAATATAGTGAGACCCCATTCTCCAAAAAAAAAAAAAAAGTGTGACTTTAACAATAGAGTTAGCATAGGCTTCACACATTAGAGGTATAGTCCCCCACAAGATTGCCTCCACTTTAGAACCCACAAGCTTGGAGGTTCCCAGACAAACAAAGAACTTCTGACAAACTGGCTGCAAATGTGGAGATCCCACTAATCTTTCAGGTTTGTTAATTCACTAGAATGACTGACAGAACTCAGGAAAGTACTACACTTACGATTATAGTTCTATTCTAGAGGATACAATTCAGGACAGGCCAAAAAAATAGCCACATGGGTGGGGTCTAGGAGAGTCCCAAATGCAAAGCTTCTGTGTCCTCAGGATGTAACACCCTCCTAGCATATTGGCGTCTATTGGGGTAGCTCACCTAAGCTTTGAGTATCCAGTTTTTATTGGGGTTTTGTTACACAAGCATGAATGATTGAAGCATTAGCCACATCATTGAACTCCATCTCCAGCATTCTCTCCACAACCCAGGAAACTGGGAGGCAGGCTGACATCACATAGGTCAAAGCCCCAACCTTCTAATCACATGGCTGGTCTTTCTAGTGTGACCATCCCGCGTCCTGAGTCTCCTCCTTAGCATAAACTCAGGTATGACGATGTGGGGGTAGAGATCCACTATGAGTAACAAAGATACTCCTATTACTCCAGAAATTCTAAGCATTTAGAGGCTTCTTTCCAGGAACCGGGGACAAAGGCCAGCCAGTTCTTTATCATAAAACACTGAAACACTGGTTTTTCATGTGTTCAGCCTCCCTTGCATTCCTGAGATAAATCCCACTTGGTTGTGATGAATAACCCTTTAACATGCTGCTGTATTTACTTTTTAACATCATAAGTTTATTTACATGGTTCATATGTAAAAGTCTTTGTCCATCCCTCTCCCTGAAGGTCATAAGTTTCTTGTGTAAGATTTTATGTACATGTATACACACAAGCAAAATGTTCGCTGACCAGGGTCAGCCTTTTGCCAGGAACCCTGCATCTCCCTGCGTCCCCTGTCGTTGCAGTTGAAGGGCCTGTTGCGCCAGAAGTGCCCTGAAGAAGTCAAGCAGATGCTGCACATCATCGGCCTGGAGGACAAGTGGAACTCACGGAGCCGCTTCCTGAGCGGGGGCATGAGGCGCAAGCTCTCCATCGGCATCGCCCTCATCGCAGGCTCCAAGGTGCGGCGGTGGGACTGGAGGCAGTGGGCTCCCCTCCTGCTCCACCTGGGCTGGCCCTTCCGCCATGGCCCAGGCACCTTGGCCCTTGACTCCCCAGACAAGGCCATCACCATCTTTGGAGGACTCGAGCTGACTCTGCGAACCCCTTGATGGGGCCTACCACAAGGCCAGCCTGGGGTGTGGCTCTACCAGCGTCATGAGGCTGTGTCTCTGCCTCCAGGTGCTGATACTGGACGAGCCCACCTCGGGCATGGACGCCATCTCCAGGAGGGCCATCTGGGACCTTCTGCAGCGGCAGAAAAGTGACCGCACCATCGTGCTGACCACCCACTTCATGGACGAGGCTGACCTGCTGGGAGACTGCGTCGCCACCATGGCCAAGGGGGAGCTGCAGTGCTGCGAGTCCTCACAGTTCCTCAAGCAGAAATATGGTGAGTGGTGGGGCCAGCCCGCAACGGGGTCGGTGTCCTGGCTGCTGTGCTGAGGGAATGCCTGCTACCCGCATAAAGGGCCCTGAGATCAGGCAGGGGTGGCCTTTTCTAGATCTCCTGTCTGTTGCCTCTGGGTGGAGAGCCTAACCAGGCAGGGGGCCTTGTGAGAGGGAAGAGGCATGAGATATCTCTTGGAGTCAGAAGGCCCATGTTTGAGTTACAATCTGCCAGTTTACTGTATTGTCATCTAGGTGGTCATGTTCGTTTCTCCTTTCTTAGCCTTTGTTTTCTGATCTATAAAATGAAGATTAAGATACTACATTCCTCAAAGAGTGAGACACTGTGTGTGAAAGCATCCTACAAGTGTTAGTTTCATTTCTACAGCTGACTGCAGCCCTCATCAGCACCCCTCTGTGCTTGTCCCCTGCTGTCCTCCTGCACCCCTGCTCCCTGGCTCCTCCATGTCTCTGCTGTTCCTTTGCACTGTTCCTTCCTCTGACCGTCTTCACTTTTCTTTCTCTGCTCACTGAATTAGTGATCTCATCCAGTCCCCTGGCTTTAAATATTCATACCTTCTCTGTGTGGAAAATCATGTGTGTCTCTAGCTTGGACCCTCTCTCCTGAACCCCAGGTTTATACATCTGACTGCCTCTCCCACACCTCAATGTAGGTGTTGAATGGATCTCTGAGACTTGTGAGAAGCCTGTGCAGCACTGAGCTCCAACGCTCTCCATCAAACCTGCTCCTCCCGCAGATTTTGTCTTCTTAGTAAAAGCAACTTCGTTCTTCCAAGTGTTTAACTGAAACCTTGCAGGCTCCCTGACACCTCTTTTGCTCAAAGCTCGTATTTGATACATCTGCAGACTTTTTTGGTCTTATCTACAAAATATATCCAGGTTCCGTCTCTGTCCCCACCTCTGATCACTGTCTAGCACTGCTTTCTGGTGCAGACCACTATCTCCTCCCACCTGGATTACTGCAGATGCCTACTAACCCATCTTGCTGCTCACAATCCAGGTGTCAAAATGGGTGTATTACAGTGCATGTCATTCTGTTGCTTGGAACCTCCAGTGGCTTCTCTGTTCACTCAGAGGAAAAGCCAAAGTCCTTGGAGTAGCCTCTAGGGCCTCACATTTTCTGACCCTGTTACCCCAACCTCATTTCCTAACACTCTTCCACGTCCTTTCTCTGCTTCTGCTGCCCAGGGCCCCGTGCTGATCCAGCACTCCAGGCACACTCGTTCCTCCAGGCCAGGTGTCGCTGTGCCTTCTGAGATGTCCCATTCTCAATGAGGCCTTTCTTTGTCACTTTGTTTAAAATCACATCCCCAACACTCCTATCCCCTCCTATGTTTACTTTTCTCTTTAGCATGTATCACTAATACTCTATCCATTTTACGTATTTATCTCATTTATTGTTTGTCTCCAACCCCGTTAGTGAAAGCCCCATGAGAATAGGAATTTTTGACTGTTTGGTCCACTGCTATATCCTCAGTACCTAGGACAGTGCCTGTCACATCCTAGGGCCTCAGGAAATGTTTACTGAATGAGTACATCAACGAACAACAGTAACAAGTGTTGCTAAGTGCTGAAAGAATTTGGAATGCCATAAGGTATGTGTCTTGTCTTTGTTCTTTACCTTAACATTTAAGGCCTCTGGCTACTGAGTTTTCACTTCCCAAAAATAGTTATGACTTAAAGGGAGTGTCACCCTGAAAGCAGCCCTCTGTCCTCGTGCCTAACCTTGCTACATTTGCCATGATCACCTACCAGTTATAGAGTGGAAGGGAAGACTCTCAAGAACAGCACTACAGAGCTTCCTCGCGAGTTCACTGTGGTTTAAATTTGGCCCTACAGGTCTCTCCAACTTCTCTTTCCCATGGAGCTGTCCCACTCTAAGCCACAGAAAACTAAATGTGGCTGAAGAAAAGTATAAAAAGTGAAATTGTTTCATGATCTTTCAAATGGTGTTTCAGGTGCAGGATATTATATAACTTCACTGAAAAAACCTAATTGTGATACGGAGAACATCTCTCATCTGATTTATCATCACATACCGAACGCAATTTTGGCATCCAGCATTGGAGAGGAATTGACATTCATACTTCCTAAAGACAGCGTACAGAGGTATGGCCCCGGGTGCTACGGGGGTGCTGCGCGTGCCTGCGCAGAGTGCTGAGTCTTCCCCTCCACACAGGAGCAAGGGCACTACGTGCTGCAGGGGCTTAGACCCTGGGCCTTTGGCACTACCTCAAAAGACATCCTAGCCAGGGGGCACGTTCAAATACAGGATTCGGATAGGTCTTCCCTCCTTCAAGCCTTGAGGGTTGTCAGTTGCCTTCAGGTTAATGTCAAATTCCGTAATATGGCTTAATGGGAACCCTTAATTTTGTTATCTCTACCTACCCCAACTTACTAAGCTCAGGTGAAGATTTGACTTGAGGTGGGTGGATCGTTTGAGCTCAGCAGTTCAAGACCAGACTAGGCAACGTGGTGAAACCCCATCTTTACAAAAAAACACAAATATTACACGGGCATGGTGGCACACATTTGTAGTCCCAACTACTCAGGAGGCTAAGGTGAGAAGATAGCTTGAGCCTGGGAGGCAGAGGTTGCAGTAAGCCAAGATCATTCCTGGGTGACAAAAGTGAGACCCTGTCTCAGAGAAAAAAGAACAAAAGATTTGACTTGATTTTCCTTTAAATTATTTTAGACCTCGACCAGGTTCCCAACACTTCCTTCTCTCCTCCTCAGTCCCCATGTCACTCTCGAACCGGAATCTTACCTTATACTTCATTGAGAAAATAAAAACCGCCGGGCGCGGTGGCTCAAGCCTGTAATCCCAGCACTTTGGGAGGCCGAGGCGGGTGGATCACGAGGTCAGGAGATCGAGACCATCCTGGCTAACATGGTGAAACCCCGTCTCTACTAAAAATACAAAAAACTAGCCGGGCGAGGTGGCGGGTGCCTGTAGTCCCAGCTACTCCGGGGCTGAGGCAGGAGAATGGCGTGAACCCGGGAGGCGGAGCTTGCAGTGAGCCGAGATCGCGCCACTGCACTCCAGCCTGGGTGACACAGCGAGACTCCGTCTCAAAAAAAAAAAAAAAAAAAAAAAAAAAAAGAAAATAAAAACCATCAGACCATCCCTATCACAAACCTATAAACCTGCTGGCTTTTACACTTTTTTATTCTTTCTTCCATCTCGTTACGGATCAGAACTTGTTTTTCTATCACAGTCCTGTCCTTTAGCACCAGCTCAAGACCCCATCCACCCCATCTCCTCAAGAGCCCTCCTGTTTGATTGTCCTCTCTCATCTCCATCATCATTTTTCCCCTTTCCTAGATCATTTCCCATAACATACTCACATACTCTGGAGAAACTACTGGGCCCACCTTCCTTTCCAGCTGCCTCTCCATGTCTCTGCCACCCTTCACAGCCAAGCTTCATAGTGAGTGGTCTACACATGTTGCCTCCTTGTTCTTACCTCTCCTGCATTCTCATTCTGCTTCCAAGTGGCTTCAGCCCATACCCTTCCATCCAAACCACTTTTTCAAGGTAATCATCAGCTATCATCATCAGGTAAGATGTCACTTAAGGCATTAGGGACTTTCTCTTTCTTTCTTTCTTTCTTTCTTTTTTTTGAGATGGAGTCTCGCTCTGTCGCCCAGGCTAGAGTGCAGTGGCGCAATCTCGGCTCACTGCAAGCTCCACCTCCTGGGTTCACGCCATTCTCCTGCCTCAGTCTTCCAAGTAGCTGGGACTACAGGCGCCCGCCACCACGGTCGGCTAATTTTTTGTATTTTTAGTAGAGACGGGGTTTCACCGTGTTAGCCAGGATGGTCTCAATCTCCTGACCTTGTGATCTGCCCACCTCAGTCTCCCATAATGCTGGGATTATAGGCGTGAGCCACTGCGCCTGGCCTACTTTCTATTTCTTTAAAAACAAAAACATGGCTGGGTGTGGTGGCTCATGCCTGTAATCCTAGCACTTTCGGAGGCTGAGGCTAGTGGATCACCTGAGGTCAAGGGTTCAAGACCAGCCTGGCCAACATGGTGAAACCTCATCTCTACTAAAAATACAAAAATTAGCCAGGCATGGTGGCAGGCATCTGTAATCCCAGCTACTTGGGAGGCTGAGGCAGGAGAATTGCTTGAACCCAGGAGGTGGAGGTTGCAGTGAGCCGAGATCATGCCATGGCACTCTAGCCTGGGCTTCAGACAGAGACCCTGTCTGAAAAAGAAAATTGAAAAATAAAAAACAAAAAAAATAAAAATTATTAGGTAATATTTTATACCTGTAAATAAATATACGTTTCATATATGTAATTATGAAGTGTATATAACAGAATGAGTACTAGTGAACCCTCTATGCAACCTAAGAATTAAGACATAGCAGTAACTTTTTACCCTAACCATGCTCAACCCCACAACATCAGTTACATAGTTAACCATTTCTTTGTTCTTGAAACACTCTTTTCTCTTGGCTTCCTTGGCAAAATTTACTCCCTGTGGATTTTACTCCTACCTGTCTGGCCATTCCCAAGTGGCAGTGGGAAAGAATGGGAGACAAGCAGTTTTGGGAGAGGTGGTTATGAAAAGGTCAGTTAGGAATTCTTTACATTTGAAAGGCCCCTGAGCCCACCCCAGTGGAGACATCAAGAAGGCAGTTTGATGTGAATGAAGCTGGGCATTGAGGAGAGGGTCAGCCTGGAAATGCACGGGAGTCATCTGCTTGTGGAAGTATTTAAAGTAGTGCGAAGGGATACGGTCATGTAGGAAGAAAACATAGAGAAAGAAGCAAGGGAGCTTACAAACAGTTCCTGAAGCACTCCTAAAATTCGAAGTTCCTCAGACAGGGACCTTGCAAAGAAGCCTGGAGAAAAGATGCCTCATAAAGATGAATGGAGAATAAGCACAAAGATGTAAAATTGGAATTCAGAATTGGGGGGGAAAACCCATACATACAAAAGAATTAGAAGACAATATTTTGTATAGTTTTAAACTAATATATTAGAAAACCTGAATACAATGGTAAATTGTCTAGAAAAATAATTTTATTAAAATTGACTCAATAAATACCAAAAAGTTTTTATAAACCTGATCACTTTTATCAAAAATTTAAAGAAAATATAATTTTGATTTTATTCAAATTCTTCCAGAGAACAGAGAACATTAAAAAAATACAGGCTGGAATTAGTGGCTCATGCTTGTAATCCCAGCACTTTGTGGGGCTGAGGCAGGAGGGTCACTTGAGCCCTGGAGTTTGAGAACAGCTTGGGCAACACAGGAAGACCTTGTCTTGACAGAAAAAAAAAAAAAAAAGAAGAAAGAGCGAGCCAGGCTTGGTGGTGCACATCTGTAGTCCCAGCTACTCGGGAAGCTAAGATAGAAAGAACGCTTGAGCCTGGGAAGTCAAGGCCACAATGAGCCGTGATCATGCCACAGTAGTCCAGCCCGGGCAAAAGAGTGAGACCCTGTCTCAAAAACAAACAAACAAACAAAATCTGCCTGCTCCTTTTTACTAATATGGGTTAATACAATCTAGCAGATCGCTGAAAGAATACTGTACCATGTAGTTCATTGAAAGACTGCTATACCATATTGAAAGGATTGTTTGATATGATCATTAATCAATATAATTTTCCATAATATGTCAAAAAGAAATCACCATGTCTTCATCCACATATAATAATTTACTTAGGAATGCAAGTAAGAGCATGGCCAGTCAGGAGAGACCTGAGTCCTTAACCCCACCTCCCTTCAGAGAGCACAGTGCTGCACTGGCCGTGCCCCAAGTCTGATGCAGCCAGGGCAGCTTTCCCTGTGAGGCCTGCCAGGTAAAACCTTGTAATTACCTGTAGTTGGGCCTGAAAAATCATACACGGGTTTTTAACCAGGAGCCAGACTCCTCAACACACAAACAAAATCTCATTAAAAACAAAAGTCACTTCTGCTTCCAGTCGTGATGGAGTAACTGATAAAGAGCATACCCTCCCACTAAAACTGGACAAAAAGCATACCCTCCCACTAAAACTGGACAAAAGTATATGAAGCCATTTCAGATATTAAGCATTAGGAAGTCCAGGACCATGACTGATTCTTGAGAGAAGAGAAACGCCAAAGAGAGAGCTATATTTGTCCCAGCTCTTTGGCTTGGGCGCTTTCTAGAACATGACCCAGGAAAGTAAAAACAAATCAGAGTGTAGCAGTGGGCCGGGCGCGGTGGCTCACGCTTGTAATCCCAGCACTTTGGGAGGCCAAGGCGGGCAGATCACGAGGTCAGGAGATCAAGACTATCCTGGCTAACACAGTGAAACCCCGTCTCTACTAAAAATACAAAAAAAATTAGCCAGGCGTGGTGGCGGACGCCTGTAGTCCCAGCTACTCCAGGGCTGAGGCAGGAGAATGGCGTGAACCCGGGAGGCAGAGCTTGCAGTGAGCGGAGATATCTTGCCACTGCACTCCAGCCTGGGTGACAGAGCAAGACTCGAGACTCGTCTCAAAAAAGGAAAGAGTATAGCAATGAACTTGCTGAGCTGAGTAGGTAAAGATGAGAGGTCAGAGCTCCTGAAGTGTCTGGACTTTGTGGGACTAGGACAGGAGAGGAGAAAGCTAGTAGGAGAGGGAGGGCCCCAGAAGTCTCTCTGTGGGTTCACTTGAATCTGTGGCTGAGGGCTGAGCTGTCCAAGAGCAGGTTAAGAGTTCATGGTGCATAGCACAGAGCAGCTACTGTGAACCCGAGCTGACTCAGCTGGGCTGTTGGCTCTGCCTCTTAATAGTGTGAATACTTCCTTTTTCATGAAAGATGGTTGATATTTGTAGCTGAGCAGCTTCATTTGCCTGCTTCCTGCTTGTAGGAGGTTGACTAGAGGCCACTTTTCACTTTGAACTCTCTCTGTCCCTTTTTATGTAAGCTGATACAATTTATTTAAATACTTTGTAGGTTTCCTGTGTATCACATTATGAAATGCAGTTTGTTAGACTACAGCAACACTCACAATCTCTTCAACACAAGTCTGTCTACCTTGGGCTGAGAGCCGTGGTGATATGGGACAACACCATTATGATTTTAATTTTTTTTAATTATTTTATTTTATTTTTTGAGATAGAGCCTCACTCTGTCACC